CTAGAGTACAAAAATACTTAACGGTTCGCAGACCGTATTTAGATTTACAAAAATACATAACGGAATGCAGTCCGTATTTTCTATCCTAGTCGGGTCCCACTAGTTGCCATTTTCTCAAAACCTGTTTTGAAAACAATCTTTCATTCACCCATGCACTATTTGTGAATGGCCCATGCACATTACAAGATACATAATTAAACACGCAAAACTAGTAACTAACTTAGGTGGTTAATCTGATTAACACGCCTAATTAAAACTAGTCAAAGTTGTTTAATCCATTATTTCTAAGGTGCAAAATGCTCACGTAATTAACTAAGCTCCCACTAAATTCAACATCCATACTTAATCAATCCGATTAATTAAGTTGGCTTAACCCATAATTTGTCAAATTTTGCAAAAACCGAAAAATGAGGTTTTAACCTTATTAAAATAATTACATAAATATTTTAAAACCGGCAAAATTCTTGCAAAATACATAGCTCAAAAATTAAGCAAAATAGCCACCACCATGCATGGTGCATTGCGCACCATGGCTGCTAGGCAGCAGTGGGCTGGCTGGCTGGGGCTTGCTGCCTCGCTGCCTAGCAGCAGCACAAGCACGCCAGCAGCCTTCGCCACACACGCAGCAGCAGCATCATAGCTTGTGCTGGCGCTTGGTGCTAGTATGCTGCGCCCAGCACAGCACACTACGCTGGCCAGCACCAGCTGCTTGCTACGCATGCTACGCATGCTAGCTCGCATGCTGACGCTTGCCAACAAGTGGTGGGCTGGCTGGTGCTTGCTACCACGCTGCCAAAAAGCATCCCCAAGCATCCAGCAGCCTACGCCACTGCCCAAGCCTAGTGCACTAGCACCCCTCGCCATACAGGCACGCACCTTCAATGCTCAGCCCATGTGCGCACCATAGGCAGCCTACATGCGGGCTGCTAGGCAGCCCGGCTAGCCTTGGTGATGCTTGCGGTTTTTCATCGATTTGCATGCATTTTACTCGGGATTTTAATCCTGATTTATGTGTGGCATAAATTAATTTCAAATTTATTTTAGAATCAATTTGAGGAAATATGAAAATAAAATAAGTCTAACTTGATTAAATTCAATTTAATGGCGCACAAGCCTAAATCATCCAAAATTTTATTTTGAAACAATTTAGGTCTTTCTTTATGCTTGAAATTGAATGAGCTATGTCCATAATTAATTTAGCCAATATGCAAATTAATAATGGATTTGACAAATGGGAGTTGGAAAAATTAATTAACCATCTAATGATAAAAATTTTCCAACTTTATACTTGTGTAAAATACCAAGATTACATCTTCCAATATGAAGATTAATCAAAATTTACTCACAAGCATTTGAACTTCAAGGATTTTAATCAACTAAAATGGAAAAATCCAATCTTAGTTCAATCATGGAATTTAGGGTTAAAGTTCCAATCATTTAAACATTTAAAGATTGGATCTTTAACATACTTAGGAACTTAAAATACACATTCACATCAAACATTCACACATTAATGCAATTTATTTGCATAATTGTGAAAAATCAAGTTTGTGTGACAAATAGCATATCAACTCAAGCACTAATTAAAACTCCATAATTATGCTTAAGGATATTTAAAATAGCAGTAGATTAGGGATGCAATAATGCATTTAATCAAGGCTTAAAAAGATTTAAAATTTTTGTAAAGATTTAAGATTAGGGAGCCTTGTAATGATTGCATTAATCAAGGCTTAAAAAGATTTAAAATTTTTGTTGAAAAAGGAAAAAACCCCAAAAACTTGGGTTTCTGGTTCGAATTTGGCTTTTGGACAGTTCTCAAAGAGAGTTAAATCTGTTTCAGAATGTCGATTCCACCCAAAAAACACTATTTTTGAGCAAAAATCTGGGTTCGACAGCCAAATCGAGAAAAATACGAGTTTTAAAATTAATTAAAACGAGCTTCTAATCTAATTAGAAAAGCAAAACCAGAATTTAAATCTTACTTTAAAACACCTTAATTAATAAATAATTGCAAAAATTAAAATGAACATGGCTCCGATACCGTTGTAGGGTTTCGTAGTGACCCTCACTACGCGAAAAGAAAACCCCCAAGACCCGCCTCCATAATAAATGAAATTAACAAGCAAAACATAATTTAAAGCATAAGAAAGGATAAAAGAATATACCTTTGACGTGTGCTTCGCTCAACTATGAGCTCTTACTTGAACCCCGATAATGCGAGGCCTTCGATGGGATCGTACCCTCGAACCCGACCCAATCGTCCTAAGCCTCGAAGGTTAGTTGAGGCCTGGAAAAAAATATAAACTTGGAGTTTTACGAATTCAAGGTTTACTCAATTATAGAGTTGCCTTTTCAATTCCACTCAAGTATGTCCATTCCCAATAACAAGGCATGGTATTTATAGGGAAATGGACCCTTGATTTCCAATCTCCCACCAATGTGGGAGAGTTGGTAAATTTAACAATTTATTTAATTCTAAATTAAATAAATAATTAAATCAATCACAACGCAACAAGTGGCGCAATTAGAGAGAGATAAGTGAGGCTCAAGGAATGGGGAGGGGGGGACCATTGCCTTGCTCCCCAAGGCTTTAGTTGGTCCCCACTTCCTCACAAAACCGCCACCAAGCATGCTGGGCTGGCAGCTAGCTAGCACGCCAGCTAGTGCTGCTAGCTAGCACCAGCCAGCAAGCCCGCATCTCCCCAGCCAGCAAGTGCGAGCTGTGCTGGGCGATGCTCGTGCTACTGTTGCGTTCTAGCTGCTAGCCTGGCACTCACGCTCGCATGGCCCAGCATGCGTGCTTCTAGCGAGCCACGCATGCTAGTGCTTGGCGATGGTGCGAGACACACACGCACACGCACGCACGCAAGTGCCCAGCATTGCGATGGGCTGTGCTTGGTGCGTGTGGCCTGCGATGGCGCCTAGGCACCCAAGCACACACGTTTCGGTGCTGCTGTGCCATGCGAAGGCACGCACACACGCACATGGTGCTGCGATGGGCAGCCTAGTGCGCCTAGCTCGCATGGCGTGCCTAGCACACCATGGTGCGCCTAGCACGCACATGGTGCGTCTAGGCTTGCGTTGAGCTAGCCTAGCCTAGCATTTCACATGGGTAGCCTAGTGTGATGCTACGGCTTCGCTCGTACTTGTTGCTTGTGATTTTGCGACGCTCGGCCTCGACGCCCTAGGCTCGATATCCGACGTCTGTGTTCGTAAAACTCCGACGACTCATTAAATCCTTTGGATTAATTCGTCGTTTCGGATCGGTTGTTCGATTGGGTTCGACCCGAAGGGTTCAGTTAAGATTAAGCTGTAATATTAATTATACCTTAATATTACTGATCGGAAGCGGCCTCCACCTAGGCATTCTGATTACTTGACCTCACTGAAAAATTAGCTCTGTAAAAATTCTGAACCCTCTATCAGAATAATACACTTGTTGGAAGGACACCATTTCTTTTAGTTAGAACGTGTACGGAGAATGTAAAAAGTGCGGAACGTAAAGTGGTATCAGGAATATTCTCTGAGGTGAGAATTAAATATCTGCAATCGTGGACTGCTCTGGTTTTTTTTTTTTCGTGTTTAATTTAATGAATGTGTGTTCCCTAGGTGGGAGCATTCCCCTTTTTATAGGGTCTTGGGATTCGTGCCACTTTCCTAGGTTACAGAATCCTAGGAATGATGGGCTGTCACGGGAATTGGGCCCGAAGGCAGTCTTTTTTCCTGCTGATGGGAGTGCCGCGTGTGAACTGGGATTGTTTCATTTAGAACCTCTCCTAGGGTGACACGTGTCACCTTCTGATTGGTCCACGTGGCCTGGGAATTTTTACCCAAAACATTTGCCCCTCACAAGGATGACGTGGCGTGCCACGTGACGCCTGTGACACTTGTCACACAGGCACTGGTGAACGATTTAATCGTTCACCTTCTGGAAAAATTACAGTGATGCCCCTGATTTTTACCCTTCTATGTATAGCGTTTTCATCCCCCCATTTTTGCACATTGACAAAAAATTTCAGACAAGAGATTCTTTGCCTTTGAGAGGATTTGCTTATCGTCGTTTGTTTTTGATCCGCCTGCATTACAGACGTCACAAAATTTCCAACTATTTTCGCTTGACACAGCTGGCCTACCGTCTGTGTAGCTTACAAACAAGAGAACATCTGAATCGCCTGGATATTTTCCAAAACTGCCTCCTTTTTCAAGTAGATACTGTTTCGGGGGTTTTTGGAGTCCCTCGGGAGAGTTACAATACTGAGTATGCGCGCCTGACTTCTGTACCTGTAAAACCACGAAACTCCGGTTGGGAGGAGTTTCGCCTCCGAAGATCAAGTTAGTATGATTCCGGATGAGTAAACGTGCGAAAAGTAGATGGGTATTTCTCTCTGATTCAAAGAGATTCCGCAATTAATATTGCTCGGGATTTGTGTGTGTATTTTTTGAATGCCAATAAATGAGGATAATTCCTCTATTTATAGCAGACGAGAATCTGCTCCCCCATTGGGGGTTCAATGCCACGTGGCATCCTCTGATTGGATCCCTTTGGGCCTGTATGAGGGTGACACGTGTCAAGCCCTCATTGGGCCACGTGGCAGGGGTGATTTTTACCCCAAACATTTGCCCCTCACAGGTGTGACGTGGCTTGCCACGTGGCACCTGTGACACTTGTCACCATGCGGAAGGGCGACGATTCGCCTCCTTCCCTCTATGTTTTTGAATTTGAAACTGGAGGGGGAAGGTGACGGTTCGCCTTCTGGGATTTCCTATAAATAGGAACCTCCCTCCTCTCATTTCTCACTTTGCCAATCTTGAGAGAGAAATTATTTGAGAGAAAAAGAGAGAACTCCCGATCCCGCCTGCTTTTTCTTACAAACAACCTCCAACTTCAACACATCCGGATACCGGTTGAGTATTTCTTTGCCCGTCTCACTTAGGTATCCTTCTGACCTTGTCGGTTTCTTCCATCTTTATTTTTTTTAAAGCTGCAGCCGGTCTCATGCCTTCTGGAGCTTCTTTAAGCAATCCCATGATGAATTGCATCAAGTAGGCCTTCAACCGGTTTATACCGTCTGGGGCGTCTTCAGGCAATCTCATTGTGGGTTGCACTTTTACAATAAATCCTCAGCCGGTTTACACCGTATGGGGTATCTTCAAGCAATCTCATGGTGTGTTGCATTCAATAGACCCTTAGCCGGTTTACACCGTCTGAGATATCTTCAAGCAATCTCATGGTGAGTTGCATTTAATAGACCCTCAGCCGGTTAATACCGTCTGGGTATCTTCAAGCAATTTCATGGTGAATTGCATTCATCAAACCCATAGCCGGTTTATACCGTCTAGGGTATCTTCAATAAAAATTTTCCTTTGAATTGCTTTGCTGCCCCTCAGCAGGTCTCACACCGTCTGGGGTATATGCGAGCAATTTCTTTCTTAACTGCTTTGCTAACACCTTAGCCGGTCCTATACCATATGGGGTATCTTTAAATCAGCCACTTTATTTATTGTTTTAACGGATGTGCAGCCGGTTCTTTACCGTCTGTGGTGTTTCTGTACAATTTTCTTCATGAGTTGTTTGTGAGAATCCTCAGCCGGTATTGCACCGCCTGGGGGGTCTTTGGGCAACTTTCCCTAAAAACTCCAGATCAATTTTTTTTGTACAATTCAGTACAGCCACAGCCGGTAACTTCCGCCTGTGGTATCTTTGAGCAACATTGGTAATTTATCATGCTTTCTTTTGCCAATTTGCAGTTTGTTCAAAGTGATACTGTCTGGGGTATCTTTGGTCAACAATCACCAACTTCTTTTGCCATCCTCTTCTTCCAACTACAAGGTAACGCCTCTGTTCCTTTCTTCTTAAAGGAGTTTTTTCAATTTTCTGGCTGTATATATTGTTAGAATAATGGGTTCACCTAACACACACACGGCACACCACGATTTAGAGGCTAGCCGGTCTCCTGGTACGGCTGAGTCTAGGACTGGGGGTGCCGCCTATAGGTACTGGGACTCTCCTTGTTCATCTCCAACACCGACCGTCTCTGTTTATGTGCAGGACGCAATGGCTCGAACTAGGAAGACATCCGATGATCCAGAATACAAAGAGGAAACCTCTGAAGGATTGCCGCCTGACTCTAATCAGGCTGAGGTGACAAGGGGATCCCCGCATGGCACTCCCAGCACTCCCAGTGATGGAATACTGAGTTTAGATCAGGGATGCGGGGAAGATGCCGCCTCTCCCTTTAGGGTTGAAAAGGGGGACCCCTCAGAGGGTGAACGCCGTGGAGAGATCGCCTCTTCATCCGGCTCAGAGCAAAGCAGCAGCAGCAGCCTCCTTACGCCGGATGTAGATAGCGAGGAGGAGGAAAGGCCCACATGGACTAATAACGGCGACCCTCTCCTTATCGCCGTCTCTGCCAAAGATAGGGCCAGCATGGCCAGAAACTTGGAAGATTTTGTCAAAATGCGTCCCCTTGGAGAAGATTGGAAAATTATCGTGCCGCATGAGATGGGCACCATAGTCTGGGAAGATAATCACCCGAATGCAAATGGATACTTCGGCTGCTATGAGGCGGTGTTTCTAGCCGGTCTCCGCTTCCCTTTACACAACACCATCAAGACCATCCTTCGAGGGTATGGTCTGGGCATTTGGCAGTTAACCCCCAATTCCTGGGTTAACATCTTGGATTATATCTCCGCCTGCGAGATGCAGGACATCAACCCCGGCTGGGAGGCCTTTGCCCACATGCACTACTTAAGTAGAAGCCTAGGCGGGTGGAGAGCCTGGTATACACTAACCACATATCCCCAGTACCTGATGACCCTAGACAAACCGTGCAAGTGGTCAGACTAGAAGAACCAGTTCTATCTAGTTTCTGCTCCCACTAAGGAAGAAAACCGGGAGTATAGGACATACAACCAGAAGCTAGATCTTCTAGGTCATAAATGCAAAAAGCCTCGAGTCCCGGATGGGGACTACGAGAGAATAATTGAGGCGGGGTTTTTTGAACAGACCACAACCGCCCTTTCTAATGGAGAACTAATAAGCGTGCTCAAGAATTGGGTACCAAAGCACGAATTTCTTCGTGATGAGGCGTTCTTATCCGCCTGTAAGCTTAGCACTCAGTTTACAAAACGTAGGTCGCACCAGTGCTTGATCCTGCTTTGCCGTCTGTACATACTCTATGCTTTTCTCAACTTTTTTCTAACCAGATGGGTTCTTTTTTTTTTTTTTTATAGTGCGTGCCTTAGCCATGTTGCCAGTAGACAAAACACCGGCTAAGTCTGCCAAAGATATCCGTAAAGAAAATGCGGAGAAGAAACTAGCCGCCCAGGCGGAAAAAGTTAAGGTATACTACTTTTCCTCCCTTCTCTTGTTTAACTTCCACTTGACTTCTTGTCGGCTGACTTTTTGTGCGTTTGTTATTTCAGGATGGGGGCAAGGCGCCCCGCTCCCTTACAAAGCTAATCAGACCCCGGCCGAGGGAGGAGCCGGCCACCCAATATAAGGCGAGGAAGACCTCCTCCCAGACAGTTCCCAGCCGGCTGACGGTTTGGGGGAAATCTGTCAAAAACACAGGTCTAGGGTTCGATCTAACCTCTAGGCAGCCGGATGCTCCAGGGGCATCCAGGGAGGAAGCGTCGCCTAGGGCGTCTGGTGCCTCTGTGCCGGCTGAGAGCAGTTATGACCCTCACCCAATCTCTCAAGGTACAATAGATCCCTTCACCACTTCTTTACTTGGCAAGCCCAAGCGGGTTAAGTCGCACTCCCAGCTCTAGCCAGAAGACTCTTCTGGCTGCCGACAGTCCGTAGGAGGGATGTATGTTGCTTTCTCACCATCTTTTTCTGGTGCAGATCTCTCCCCTTGCTGGCCGGATGTACAGCAGTACGCCCGGGCCATGCTGAAGGCCATCCCCAGAGAGGAGAAGGAGGCGATCCCAGGGATCAACACCTTCAATGCCGACCAGGTCATGGCCGGCCTGGCTGAGGTATGAATTCTTTCAACTGTATCTTCAAGTTATTATGCCGTCTGACCCCTTATAACACCGCTTGGGCCTTTGCAGTCAATGCTTCGCGGGGAGGGGCTTAAGAAGGCTTACGCCCGCAAGCAAGAGGAGGTAAGACGGGCTAAACGAGATGCGTCCAATGCTCATAACGTTGCCCAATATTCCATGATTATGCATGAATTAAAAACTAAAGGCATAATCATGCAACAGGCGGACTCCATCAAAGCTCTTTAGAAATCCCTCAATGAAGCCCATACCAAGATTCACAACCTCCAGGCGGAGAAGGAAAATGTTGAGGCGGAGGTGAAGAAGGCGTCAGATTCTCTCAAACTCCTATAACTAACCAGGAAGGAGAATTCTTCACTGCTGACTGAAAACGTCCGCCTGAAGAAGGAAGCGGCTTCAGCCAGTCAGAACTTCCAAACCATGCTAGAAGCAGAACAGAGCCGGCTCATTGAGGAGAATGAGCAAGATTTTGCCAACCGTATGCATATGGCTTGGACCCTGGTACATCCGGACACGGAATATGTCGTCTGGGAGCTTGCCTACAAATACGCTGATCTTGCCATTGAGGCCCAAGAGTCAAACCAGCCGGCTTCGGAGCCTTATGAAGAGTGGGCGCAGAAGCAGATCAAAGCCATGCAGGCGGAGATCGGCTCAAGCGGAGGGGATGAGCCCCAAACTGAAGAACAAGGAGAGATCGCCCCCCTTCCCGCTTCGGAGACCGCCTCCAAGGACCCGGCTCAGCCTTAAGCTTTTGTCATTTAACTTTTCTTGCCTGCGACCCTTGTATTCCATGTATCTCTTTTCCGGACACGGTTCCGGATAACATTTGATTTTAATTTATATATATATGCATACTGACTGGGTCGGTTTACTTTGTCACTTCATTTCAATTCTTTTCAATTTTTGCAACTTTTAAATGTTTTGCAATTTTGTTTTGTATGCTCTTGCGATATGCCGGATGTATTAGCTATGTCTGCCCCTGGACGGTTGGTTGCTTAGTTAACAACTCTTAAGCAAGCAGCCGTCCATAATCATCCAGGCGAATGAATAGGAGACCCTTGACCATTTTACAACAGGATTGCTCGGCTGAATTCAGGCGGCCTAGGACTGGACATGCTCTTCAAACCTTTGTTAGGTATAAGACCGTCATAGCTGTTTCGGGTGTTTTTAGTCACTCGGGAGAGTTACAATACTGAGTATGAGCGCCTGACTTCTGTACCTGCAAAACCACGAAACTCCGGTTGGGTGGAGTTCCGCCTCCGAAGATCAAGTTAGTATGATTCCGGATGAGTAAGCGTGCGGAAAGTAAAATGGGTATTTCTCTCTGATTCAGGGAGATTCCGCAATTAATATTGCTCGGTATTTGTGTACGTATTTATGAATGCCAATAAATGAGGATGATTCCTCTATTTATAGCAGATGAGAATCTGCTCCCCCATTAGGGGTTCAATGCCACGTGGCATCCTCTCATTAGATCCCTTGGGGCCTGTATGAGGGTGACACGTGTCAGGGGTAATTTTTACCCTAATCAGTAGCCAGCTGTAGTGCAATAGTCAGGCGGATGCTGAGGTCAAAAGGGTCTGACCTTGCGCATGGGGTTTGAGCCGGCTTGGGTGATTTTGGGTAAAAGCCGGTTGCTGATTAATGTCGGAACCACCGTTTGTATTGCGTTTGAGCGATAACCGGTTGTGACATGATGTAATTTTCCAGCCGTATTTCCTTGGGGTAATAGCTGGTTATAATTTTTAAGATATGAATTTCAAGCCAACAGGGTTGAACTTCAGCATGGAAGCGGGGGCCGGCTGTGGTGATTTTGGGTAAAAGCCGGCTGCTTAACAAGATTTAATTTACCGTCTGTATTGCCTTGGGGCAATAATCGGGTGTATCTTGTTTGCGATTGGTCATTCGAACAGTCATGAGATTAACCTAACCGGTTAAAGTCGTTTGAGTTTTTGACGCATAGAATAATGTACCACCTGGAAGGGAGATGTTCTCTTCGACGAATTCACCCGGATGGGCGTCGCCGGATGCCAGCTCATGGTTAGAGGAGGCGGTTTAAAATTTACTGGCCTTGGGCCTTTTAAATA